CAGGAAGCCCAAGGCAGAGTTGCTCTGCCCCGGGCTTCCTGGAATCAGCCGCTGATCAGTTTCAGCAGCAGCTGACTTGGGGACGCCTGGGGTTCTTAAGTTGAATCTGTATGTAAGAACTGGCGTCCATATGCAGCCTGTTGAGGCCAGTTCTGACTTACATACAGATTCAACTTAAGAACAAACCTACAGTCCCTATCTTGTACGTAACCTGGGGACTGCCTGTACTTTGCATTTGTCCTTATTAAACTTCATCCTGTTTACCTCAGACCATTTCTCCAGTTTGCCCAGATTATTTTGAATGTTGACCCTATCCTCAAAAGCACTTGCAACCCCTCCCAGCTTGGTATCATCTGCAAACTTAATAAGTGTACTCTCTATGCCATCCTCTAAATCATTGATGAAGATATTGAAGAGAAACAGTCCCAAAACAGACAATTGCAGAACCCCACTTGTTATGCCCTTCTAGCATGATTGTGAACCATTGATAACTACTCTGTGAGAATGGTTATCCAGCCAGTTATGCGCCTACCTTACACTAGCCCCATTCTGGTTGCATTTCCCTAGTTTATTGATAAGAATGTCATGCGAGACTGTGTCAAATGCCTTACTAAAATCTAGGTATACAACTCTCCACTACTTCTCCTTTATCCACAAGACTTGTTATTCTATCAAACAAAGCTATCAGATTAGTTTGATGTGATTTGTTTTTTACAAATCCATATTGGCTACTACCTATCACCTTATTATCTTCCAGATGTTTGCAAATGGATTTCTTAAATACTTCCTCCATTATCTTCGCTAGCATAGAAGTTAAACTGACTACTAGTCTGTAGTTTCCTGGGTTTCAGTAGATGTGATGTCTGTGACCAGCTCTGTCAGAGACCTGCTTTGAGGAGAAGTCACTTCACTTTTCTATGGCTTCATTTTTCCTCCTACTAATCTGCCTGTTTATTTATATTGTAAGCTCTTTGGGCAGAGACTGTCTCTTACTATGCATTTGAATAGCTGCTAGCACAATGAGGACCACACACACTACTGTGTTATAAAAAAAACTAGCAGAGATACCCAGTGTTGCTTATTCTTTTAGTGAAGTAATGTTTTTCTGGAGAAGGACGGCAGGAGACAAATCGCTTGATCATTTATTTTCGGTCCACCCTCTCTGGGGCACCTGGTGCTGGCCACTGTCGGCAGACAGGATACTGGGCTAGATGGACCTTTGGTCTGACCCAGTATGTCCATTCTTATGTTCTTATGTTTTTATGTGGAAATACAAAAGGAAAATGTACATGCTTTAGTTAAATTATTTTGTTTTTCAAAAATGAAGGAAAAAAGACATTTGTATTAATAGCTAGAGCTTGTTGCTAGACAATATTTGCAGTTTATCTGTCCTTTGCTAGAATAAAAAGGGGATGGGAGTTCAGGAGTGAGGGCAGGAAACTGGGAGGGTTGGGGGCTATTGGCTGGGGGTGGAGGGTCCCAGAGTGAGGGTAGAGGGTGAGGGCTCAGCGTAGGGGATGGGGTTGCCGAAGTCAGGACCGGGGCTGGAAGAGCTCAAAGAAAGCATGAACAGTGCTTGAGTGATGACGAGGTAGGAGCTGAGGGCACAGTGTTCAGTGTGGAGGGGGCTCAGAAAAGGAAGACAGAAGGTGAGGGGCTCATGGTAGGGGGTGGAGGTGCAAGAGTGAGATCAGGGATTGAAGGGTGCTGGAGTGAGGACAAGAAGCGGGAGGCTGAAGGCACTGGGTTCAGTGGGGGGTTCAGGGCAGGAGATGGGGGACTTAGGGAATATGGCTGGGAGGCTGGTGAGAAAAGATTACCAAGGCTACATAGGTTGCAAGGATGGTGCTGCTTCAGTGGTGACTCCTCCCAGGGAGCCCAGGCTCATTCCCTTGAGGTGACTCCTCCCATGGTACTGGCGCAGCCTGTCCAAGTGGGGACCAGACACAAGCAAAGAAGTAACTCCCTTCCTATGATTAGTAAAATGAATACTGTGCACTCTCATATAACTTTGCATGTTTAAATATCAAAATAAAACAAAATATATTTCACTCTGTCATAACCATGAGGGCTGACCAGCAGTCTGGTGGCTAAGGGGTTAACCTAGCCAGATATTTGATCAGCCCTGTCCAAGTGGGGACCAGACACAAGCAAAGAAGTAACTCCCTTCCTATGATTAGTAAAATGAATACTGTGCACTCTCATATAACTTTGCATGTTTAAATATCAAAATAAAACAAAATATATTTCACTCTGTCATAACCATGAGGGCTGACCAGCAGTCTGGTGGCTAAGGGGTTAACCTAGCCAGATATTTGATCAGCCAATAACAATGCAGGTAGGGATTTCAAACTGGGACAAAGGAATTTTTATCTTTTCCCTCCTTTGTCTGAGTCAGAGCAGTTTCTTCCAAGTAACAGGGAGATGGGAAGGCCTGTCTTTCTCCAAGAAAAGTCTCCTCAAAATGTGTAAGTAGGGCAAAGTTAGATAATCCATCAGGCTTTACTGTTTTTCTGGTTTGGGAATGTGGAACTGATGTCTGAGTTGTTCACAGTATGTTTTTTTCTCTCTCTCTCTCTAAAACTGTTTTTCTTTTTATAACTAAGTCCTGAGCCCAGGGTATTCCCCCTGATTATTTAGATTAATTGATGGCTCTTTTTCATCTAGCCACTTTATTACGCTTGCAACTATGGTTTTGTTTTGGTAATAAACATTTGTTTTCATTTTTCTAATTAACCGGTATTGGTTCATTTTTGTGTCCTGGAAAATCTGTCTGTGGGTATCTGCCGGCCTCTGACTAGGGGACAGCTCCCACAGACTGCAGCTTGTATTTTTCTCTTTTCATTTCAAGCTCTTTGGGGAAAAGGGCTTGAGATACCCCTGAGGTTCTAGGGAGGAGGTTTCCCAAGTGATCTCTTTCCTGGTTTCTTTGGAATACTTGGGTGGTGGCAGCGGTTTTTATTCTCCAGAGTCCAGGTATTAGGATTTGGGGGGGAGGCTTTTTTGTACCAAAGCCTGTATAGATCAGGTTTTGGGGTGCTTTTCTGGAGCCCCACTTCTGCATTTATCGTGCCAGAATGGGGAACAGCCTTGACAAACTCAGAGCAAAAATTAACAGATTACATTCTTCACTGTGAACAAGACACTTTTCCATTCACAACAGACATGATTTTATATTTACCCTCAAGCATGCTAGTCGGTTTTTGAGCTCTTCACATTCCACCTGCAGCAGTCGAATCTCCAGATCTTTGATACCATGAAATTGCTGTTTAGTGTTTGGAGATTGCAGGGACTTCACATTTATTGAGCGTGTTTTGTGCTTTAATGGAAACTTTTTGGTAGAAGTTCTTGAGGTGGTGGAGGATGAAGAAGAAGCTGATGGACTTCTGTCCTGGTAAAAAGGAAGACACAATTTCATGTTATGATTTTGGCAGTTTTCACTCTTTTGCGGTAACTGTGCCTGGGAAAAGAATGTGGCTTGATTTCATTAACAATAGAAAAATCATATTTTATTCCTTTCCCATAATGGAAAAATGGGTCAGTCTTTCTTTAAAATGTTGAGCTATAGACAAGAACAAAGCATGGAAAATTTCAGCCTAGAAGATCAGTTCTGTAGAAATGTATAAGCATGTAACAATAGAGAAATTAAATAGAAACGATATTGCAATTTTAACTGCAGTAGGTGGATGGGTTCTGTTAATTTGATCTAAAGCTCAATGATGTCAAAAGGAGTCTTTCCATGAACTTCAGGGGCCCTTGAACCAATCAAAACCATATTCAGATCTCAGCAATAAACTAAACCATATAAAATTAGGACATACAATAATAAAAGTTAAAAAAGATTTTAAAAGTCAAGTGCCCTCAAAAATGGCCAGAAATAATGTTGCCTATGGAACCTTGAGTCAGCCTTCTTTGTGTTTGCATTATGATACAGACTTTTGCATGCAGAAGTGATTACAAGTGAAAAGTATAGTACACATTATTTGTTTAGCATTGCATAGGAATTTGGTAGCAGAGTGGCATTCAGCTCTCCTCAGACCATATTTCTCTTCCTACTATCACTCACACCTTCCAACTTCTCAGTAAATAAAACATGGGTCCTGCAGATAACAGACTCTTTTACTACACAACACTGATTAATCCCCATAGCAGATTTATCTCATGTATTGAATGAAGCAAGGATCTTGTGGGGAAAAAACAACAATAAATATTGGATCGTGTAATAACGGCTGTATCATAATGCATATACACAAGTGATCCCACAGCCTTTTAACCCTTAACTTTGCATTTTCTAATTTTTCATGGTTTCATTTATTGATGAGAACAAGCTTAAGTAATCTTTAATGAAGTTTGTGAATTTCCTGAGTATTTTAATAGAAAGTAAACCTTTGATATAAGTGCTATTTAGATAATAAAGCATTTCCACATTTATTATCTTTATTATATATTTTATTGCCATTATCTTTGTAAAGTTTCTTATTCTGCTGCTAAGTGCCTTGTAAATACAGGCAGTCCCCGGGTTACATGGATCCGACTTACATTGGATCCCTACTTACAAATGGGGTGAGGCAACCCCGCACTAGCTGCTTCCCCCCGCAGACCAGGAAGATGCGAAGCTAGTGCCCCCCCCCAGCAGACCAGGGAGACGTGGAGCAGCTTTTCTCAGCAGACACCTCAGCTTGAGAATAAAGGACTGAGGGACGGAGCGGCTTTTCTCAGCAGACACCTCATCTTGAGAATAAAGGACTGAGGGAAGTGAGGTGTGGGAGAATAAAACTGAGCTCTGGAGAAATGTTTGGCTAGAGTTTCCCCTACAATATGTACCAGTTCCGACTTACATACAAATTCAACTTAAGAACAAACCTACAGTCCCTATCTTGTACGTAACCCAGGGACTTCCTGTATATATTGAAACAAATTAAACTGTATTCAATAAATGGATGTTTTAATGCATCAATTTTACTGCAAATAACATTTTTACTTTTAAATGATATTTTCTAAAAACTGCAATAGAAAACTGAGTAGGGATTCATATCTATAATGTCACTCCTCATTTCTGGTTCCTCTGCAACTGGCCCCCACCCACCAGTCTTCCCAGCTCTCCCAGGCAGCACAGATGGGCCATGCACCACATTTCCAGGCACCTGCTCCCCTCTCCCAGGCAGCCCAGCTGGGCTATATGCCAGGGTCTTGCCACCCTCTCCAGGCATCCCAGCTGCATTGCACTGGGCTCCCACCCTCCTCCCTCTGCAGCACACCGGGATGCCTGCCCCACACCTGCAGCACTCCGGGACTCTCTGAGCCTGGAACAACTGTGTTCTTGCTGCACCACAGGTGTTACCAGACCAGAGAGTCTTGGTATAGAGAGGTACAACCTGGATTACAGAAATATCAGAATATTCTATTTTGACAGTTTTGAAGCTTTTTCCTCCCAGAAATATTTCAAAATATTAAATTCATTGAAACCAATTCCTTCTTGCTAAAAACTTGTGGTTTTGACAAATTGGTATTCTCCAAAAAATGTTTCTCCTGCAACTTCCTTCCCCGCATTGTTGTGTAGACAGCTCTTTGAAGTTATGGCTCTGGCTGAAACTCTTGCTTTGAATCCTAGCCCCCTCCCATTATGCAGTTGCTTGTACCATTGCTCAAGTTTTACTATTTGGACAGAAATTTTTATTATGAAGTTTTTGGCTCATGTGGAATTCTTCAAGAAAATGTTTGTCAGAATGGTTCAGCTGATTCTAAAACGGCAGCTAGTCAATATGTTGTTTTGTCCATGTTTTTTTTAAAAAACCTGATCTCTTTTCCTTACATGGCCCATTGCTTTGGAACAGGTACTCAAAATTTTGTAGTTAAGTGGGCATTGGGAGTTTGTGTCTTTTGCCATTCCTGGCCAAGTGATAGCTTTTGAAAAATCACAATTCAAATGTTCTCAGGACATGCTTGCTAGATGCTCCCGGCTAACCTCCCCTAAGATTCCATCTACCCACAGCATGTTCTAGAGCTGTAGCTGGACTTCCCTGAAGCTGCTGCAGGAGAGGCCCGAATCAAGGCCATAGAATCAGGGACATAGGAATATTTTGTATTGTGGGGGTGCTGAAAGAGTGACCTTTGTATTCAGTTTGTATTGCTATTTCAAGCCAGGAGGTGCAGCCACACCCCCAGTAACTCCAGTTCTTACACCCCCACTTGGAACTGAGAGCTTGTCTCTCCTGCACTCAGTGTTGCTTTGCTGGGCACATAGTATGAAGGAGGGAACTGCCTAAATTGAATGCAGAAAGGACAAGTGTCTGATCAGGGGGAATAGGCGGAAGATTAGGACAAGAAGCCTGTAGGTGGAGAAGACTGGGACTGGAGGCTGACAGGGAGATGGAAATTAGGCCTAAGAATTGGAAGAAGAGGTGGAACTATCAGGGGAGCTGGGACAGTTTTTATAGTGGGGAAGCTCAGAACCATTGAATCAAACTGTAACCCCTGCATCTGATGGAAACCGCTATTTTGAAAAAGTTCCCACTATTTCTGGAATATAGATGTTCCTTGTGTTTTACGCCCAACTAATTTCAACAGTTGCATTATTTGTTAGTATCTATAGTCTTTTTACAGGAATTTATTACTTTTAACCTTCCCTGTGAATAAACTCATTGTGTCTGGGTCTCCCTGACAGCAGGGTGGCCTAATGGTTAGGTCCTAGATTTAGCTGGCAGGAAAGGGGTGCAGGTCCCTGCCACTGGTGCCTCAGGCCTAGGAATTCTGGCCTACTATCTGAGTACAATCCTGAAGTTTGGGGAATGGTCCCAAGAGTCTAAATTTCCCTCTCCTTAGTGAGGGTTTTGAGTAGGCTCCCCCCTTTTGTCCCAGAGAGTGGGATTGCAGGTTTACTTCCTCCTGTGGCAGGCCAACTGGATGGGCTTTGGCTAAGGCCCTGAAGACTGTAGAACCCTGCTCCTATCTCCTTGCTGGTCAGGCCCTAACCGAGTCCTTTTATCCTCCCTCCAGGCCTAGCATTGGCTACAGGTAAAGCAGGATGGGGCTAGCTGGGCCAAAAGACTTTGTTTAATCTCTGCACTGCCAGGCCCTCCTCTCTTCATTCCCTCACACATCCCCCTCCTCATGACTCCTATTGGGATTGCCCACTCCCCTCCAGCTGTGCTCCACCCTCCCTAGAGAAAAACTCTTCATTTACATGGGCCCAGTATTGGATCCAGAAGGAGAAAGGCTGGAGGGAGAGATACCACCACGTGATTCTGGTGTTTGTGTCCTTCATTTCATGTAGCCCGTGAAGAGAGGCGTGGTCTGTGATGAGGGTAGTGTCTGCCCATTAGCTAATAGAGTGAGTCCATTGCCCATTTCACTGCTAGCACCTCCTTTTCAATTACAGAGTAGGCTTTCTCTCTCAGAAACAACTAATGTAGAGGATCAGGTGTTTGTCACTTCGCATGATGTGGGACAGCTCCTAGGCCCACGTCGGAGGCATCCGTTTGTAACAAGAACTCCTTTGAGAAGTCTGCCACTTCCCTGTGGACCCTGGGCCAAAAGAAGCAGGCCAAGATCCAGGCCAGTTTCTTTTCCATCCCCAGGTGTCCTACAGTGGGTATGGCATGGACAAGTCACATGATTTCCCTCTGGTAAGGCTGAGGAACCAAAAGCCATTGGTGTACCTCTTCTGTTTTTCAGGCAACAGGGCTGGCTCCTTCTCTGGCCAGCTGGGGCCCTGCTCCATCTGGCTGGGGCTGGGCGTTGGGAAGTCCCCTCCCCCGGATCTGCAACTTCCCCCACACCTGCAAGAGGCGGGCGCC